ATGCATCTTTTTCTTTCTTTCTCTTTCTTATTTTTTATGATAATTTCTATATTCGAAGCTAAGCTCTCGTGTCTCTGATACTGGCAATAAAATAAGTGAATAAATAATTACTTAAGAAATATAAAGCAATGAAATATGAGTAAAAAGAAGAAGAAGAAGAAGAAGCAAAGCGCTCGTTCTCGTTTATCAGAGAAACAGATAATAAGTAGTGGATGACGTATAGGAGAGCTAATGACATCCAATATATAGGAGAACACAAAGAGCAAAAACTCGTCGTATGTACGAGTGTTCAAGTTAATAACTCTACTATAATAATGTATCTTATCACTTACGTATTTCTAACTTAACGTCTGGGAACTCGTCGAAATTGGATGTGTCGTCGATGGATCGTACTTCGACTGGAATCGCTGCTGGTCTCTCTCTTATGTGTTCCCAATCGACGCCACGGAAGAAAGGAGCTAACTTGAGTTCTTCGATACCTCTTTGAGATCCTAACCACGTACAAATAGTACAACGACAACAAATAGGCAACGGTTAAAGAATGCACAAGTAACTACTATTATTTAATTGCATATGAAAAGTATTTGTTTCCTTGTTTACTACCTAGTCTTCTATCAGCTTCACAACAAAATCTGACAATGGTGTCCTTAGCCTCTTCGCTGATCGGCACTTCGGGTGGAAAAACTAAGGTCTCCCGCCAATTCATCACCTTCCTATACGTTTCTTGTGGATTTTCGCTACAAAACGGTGGGTACCCTGCAATTATCTTCGATCAATAATAATTCAAATGACGTTAAACAACAACAACAACAACAACGCATCATGGCATCGTAGATTAAAGATAATCGATAGTTGTTGGTTGATCGAGCAAACCACCTACCTACCTATGAGCATTTCATACATGATTACTCCTAGAGACCAACAATCGCAAGCTGGACCGTAACCAGTTTGTAGAAATACTTCGGGTGCTATATAATCGGGTGTTCCGACTGTGCTATAAGCGAGAGCTCTTCTATTTCTTTTCCAACTTTCAGCCCTTCTTTTACTGTCCATCGCCCCTCCGCTTCCACTTCCACACGACGTCACTGTAAAACAACAAGAATCGCTAGAATAACCGTTACCCAAGAAGTAGATGAGAATTAGAACGTTCAAATACGTTGCTTCATTATATACGTCCGAGGATAATTAACGTACTGAAATCGGAAGGCTTAGCCTGACTTAGGTCACGGTAAAAATCAGTCCTGTGAGATTTCTTCAATCCCGTGCACAGCCCAAAATCAGACAGCTTTATGTGGCCCCGTGCATCCAACAATAGGTTGTCTGGCTTAATATCTCTAAAATTGGAAATTCATCAATCCAATTCAACGATCCAATCAATCTATGCGAAAATGATAATAAACCTCTGCTGCTGGCTTTTCTTTAATCTTACCTATGAATAAAACCTAATTTGTGTATGGAGTCGATTGCTAACGCCGTTTCGGAAATATAAAATTGCGTACACTCTTCGGATAGCGTGTCCTTCTTCATGAGAAGCGTCATCATGTCGCCTATATCAATTATAGATTATTAAGAAAGAATAAGAAGAAAAAGAACAAATAATAAAGCAATAGAACTCCTCTTACCACCCGGTAAAAACTCCATTATTAGATAAAGATTAATGGGATCCTGAAAACTGTAATACATCTTGACGACCCACTGATGATCAGCTTCAACAAGAACATCCCTTTCAGCTCTTACGTGAGCCACTTGCTCCTTTTCGAGCATGTCTGCTTTCCTTAATATTTTCATCGCGTAAACGTGACCGGTATCTTTCTTTTGAACGAGTCTCACCTATTTTTAAAACGAACAAAGTTCATTTCATTTGTTTCCTCAAAATAATAAAAATAACTATAAACAAACAACTGACTGCTTTCCTTCATATATTTATCTCTTTGCTATTTTTTAACGTCAATTTAGAATAAACCAAAATATATGTGTTTTGATAATAGTCAAAAGTCACGATAATAGGAAAAAGAAAAGGAAAAAGAAAAGGAAAAAGAAAAGGAAAAAGAAATGTATGCGACATTATCTACCTCGCCAAAGGCCCCTCTTCCGATGACCTTGAGTGGTTCGAAATCTTCGACGCCAAGCCTGGACCTCTTCAACCGCAAGAATTCCGTTTCCTTCTGGGCATGTTGCAATCTCTTCTCCTGCTTTTGCTGTTCCGAGAGACCCTCATCCTTCAAAGATTCCTCCAACTTTGCTAGCCTCTGTTTCCTTTCTATGTGTTGGGCTATTAAGTTGCTGTAATAATTCTCCAACGTTACCTACACAAACAATTGTAACGAAAAGAAAACAGATCAGAGACAAAAATAGTAAAAAGTAAATCCAAATTAATCAAATGTTTCATTTTAATAGTATAATTTCAAGATTTTCTTTCTTACCTTAGCCTTGGTAGCTTTGTCCAACGTGTGTCCGCTAAATCGAATAGTACTCTCCGTGGCAGCCATCTCCAAAACCCCTGAAACAGTTTTAAATGAAAGAGCTACTGCTACTGTGTTCAATTATTCAATCCTTCAACAATTTCCTCCTCCATTTGTTTTCTTTTCGAAAGAAATATTTTATTAAAACGTAATATCTTCTATGCAGGCAAATATAGCATTATCATAAGTGTTAACAATAACCGTTATCTATTGAAATGTCTTTAGTATAGTGAACGTCATAGAAAAGTTTAGCGTCGAAATAAAATTCAATCGTAGGAATAATATGGGGGAGAGTTTTTTTTATTGAACATTGAACTAATAATTGATGCGGTTAGGGAGATGATAGGTTTAAACGATACGTTAGACCTATGAAAATCAACTGAATAATCGTTATCTTTCCGTCAAGGTGTCGTATGGATCCTTCGATCGTTTATATTATTGTTTATATCGACTACGACTACGACGACGACGACGACGACGACGTTGATCGTGGTTTCCCATCTACTGGCAAATTCCACGAACGCGATTGTTTACTTTTCAAATATGTTATATATCTGTAATATAATAATAACGTCATACTACCTTTCAAATGATTTTTCGCGCGATTAATTTAACATAATAGGTCATAGGAAAATAACTAGTAGGATTTCTATGTTTATGCAATAGCGTAGCGAGCTCCAAATAAATAATTATGATTAATGTGTTAAAATGTTATAAAAGATTGCTACTAACTATAAGTGTTGGATAAATAAGTATCGATCCTGCGTCGTCTTGGAACGTGCTGTTTTTGCTCGAAATTGCTGTTGGTACGATCGAAGAATCTGAAGCAGTTGAAATTTTGCGGCATTGCGAGTAAAAGAAAGAAAAGACAAATATTTGAAAGGAAACGATGTAAGACATGACGCGATGCGATGTGTGTGCGTTGCACGCGTCGAGTTTTTCGAGACGACTACTTTATGTTATAGCTCGCTTGCCTTCTGCTGCACTTGGTGCCTTCGAAAATGAAAACTCGCGTATTGCTCGCGTATTGCTCGCGTATTGCTCGCGTATTGCTCGCGTATTACTCGCGTATCACTCGCCACGAGTAATGAGGGCCTCGGTCTCTAAACAAAAACGAACAAAAAAAAATAAACGACGTGGGAGTGCTGCGTTAAGTGGCTCTTACGATAATTACCGAAGAAACTTATCCTCCTATACACTGACACATTCGGTTTACAGTAACCACGATTATGATTACATTTTACATTTTTTCCTTTTTCTTCCTTTTCTTCCTTTTCTTCCTTTTTTGCCAAATTCAAGAAGGTAACAACAACAACAAAAGCATAAGAAATGAAATTTCAAATGAAAAAGTAATTAAGCAAAAATATTTGACAACGGAATTACACCTGCGTATTACATTGTTGTACATACAGTACTACAACAATCGTTTTGCCTACAAGACTCGGCCATTTTCGAGGTCATCTTATGCTGTCATCCTATGAATCAGTCTTACGCAATTACAAAGATGAGCAAATCGGTTGAGCTTTCAAAATTGATTGGAAACCACTATATCGTATACTCTTCTTTTTGTATTCTTATTGAATTTAGTCAATTCTTTTGGAACTCATTGGCAAAGTCAAATTTCAAATGTGAATCGAAAATCTAGCAAGACCATTGTTTTGTCTAAACGCTAAGCTTCTAACTGTATTTCACTTGAGAAGGAAAAATAATACGTTTGAAATTGATTGTTCGTTGGTTAGCAGAGCACATACCGCGTCCGCGTATACGTCGTCCTCGATCGTATACGGTCAAATGGAAATTAGGTCTCGCAAAAAGAGGGAGAGAGAGCGTATCGCGATTTGCTGTCCATCGTGCCATTTCGAAAGCATTTCATTACCTTGCCTATATTTTACATTAATGTAAGATAAGGAAACGAGTACATAAATGAATACCTATGAATACCTATGAATACCTACCTATGATGATGCACATGTACAACAAATGTAGGTATGTTTTATATTTATTTACCAGCTTATGTATTTTTTATTGGAGTCTAGAAAGGAAATGAAAAGTTTAACATAAAGCTAACTTTAGCAAAATTAGTCTTGATGATTTGATTGAAATTTGTGTTGTCTATTTTGAACGAAGGAACGGGATTTTCTTTTAAATCGTTCCTTTACAAATCGATACAAGAGACGATGATATCCGATTATATCGGTGACTCTATTTAACCGAGTAAGTAATAAAGTAACGTCAGTCACAAAAAGAGATTAATCGATCACTGCGATCGCTCACGATGTCTCCAAAGATATCATCATCCATTCCATTAACGCGTCTTCCCCTTCCATCAATGATCGTCCATTCAATTTTTCTCTACAGAATAAAACATTTGATAATATCAATAATGTGTTAACGCTAAATAAATCATACAATTGATTTTGACTAATTTATTGAAATTCTAATCATTTGACGTGTCCCAAAAATACTATTTTTCCATTGGCACAACTTAACACAGTTGCGCAAACGTAAAAATAGAGTATATTTATGTTTACATTTGCTAAATATGATTCAACGAGCTACGTATGCACCCAAAAATTATTTCAAAATATCGCTTTTAGCTCGATGAAAAAGGGAAATAAGAGAATTATTAATCGCACGTGCCAGCAGCCTACATGCTTGTTCCTGGCATTAAGGATCCCGCAATTAACGCTTACGGTATTTATCTTTTTCTCCTTGCAGTATATGTACGCGCGAGTACAGTTATATCATTACCAAACAGCTCAAATCTTAATCTCCGAAGAGAGAATCTAGAAATCCTAACAGAAAAATAATTTGGTATCGATAGAAGCAAATTGGCCTTTATAAAGAATTTCTTTCTTTTTTTTTGTTTTTTTGTTTTTTTCCACAAAAATTAGCAACAACGGAGTTCGAGGAGCGTAGGGGAAAGTAAGAAGAAACTCGTTTCACGTTTTAACTCTTACAACACGGTTTCTTACATAAATAAAATCCAAGGACGGGACAGAAATCGCAACAAAGTGCATACATTCGCCGAACAAGAAGAGAAGGAAGGAATTATATCGGTTATACGTTTCCTCTCTTTTCTCTTTGTCTTGCACGAGCACAGATATACATACATACATGCATGCATAAATACGTATGCACTTGCAAGTACTTTGCTGCTGAACTTTTTGCTAGGGCTTCGTTATGTAATAAACTATTAAGCAGACTCTCGAGCGAGGAAAAAGGGTGGAAGGAAGAAGACTGAAGTGAGGATGTTGCGTGTGAAAGGGATCTGTTTTAAAAGAGGGTTGAAACGCAAAGGAAAGCACACCGAATAGAAGAGAGAGAGAGAGAGAGAGAGAGAGAGAGAGAAAATCTTTTACCTTGTACACAATGAATCATGCAAACTTGCAAAGTTTGCGATTCTTCTGACAATTGATGAAATGAAACATAAAAAAAGAAATCGGTACTTTGTTGTAGCCATATTACCGGGATACTCTAGTTTGCCTGAAAGTACATTTACTCATCGGGGTCCTTGGCCCAAAAGTTTCGGCCGAGCAAGCACAGTGTACATCTCCTATCTTTTCATCTTCTATATTTCTCTTTTATTGTTAGTCTCTTATGCGTCCTGTTTGCGTTCTCGCTCTAAATCTCGCAAGAGCGTGGCCGAATCGCAAAGTCCGTCATACACACACACACACACACACGCTAACTCGAAGAACGTTGTAGATACATAACCAAGATACGACATCAAACGATACTACAATTTAATTGACCTTAATTCATTTCGATCGGGTATCTTAATTAATCGGACATTCATTTTAATGAAGTATGTATCGACATCCGAAAAATGATGGATGGAAAAATACAGCTTTTCGCGAATAGGTTGGAAAAAAAAAAAAAAAAAAAAGAAAGAAAAAAAAAGTAATAGTAAAAGGTAGTTGTTAAATGGAAAGGAGAGATACTATATAACATATATCGATCTGGTAAGATTGGAGGTAGTACACACCCACTAGCGAGTAAAGACCATTACTAAATGTTACTCATCTAACGAGCCGTGGATGGCTTTTCCAAGATACACTGGCGCGGCTCGTTTACATAAGTTTCCGAGTTAAAAGCTATTTTAAGGGGCCCCCTTCGTCATTTTCTTCTCTCTTTTTTTCTTCGCCTTTATCGGATAAAAGTGGAAGGACGATATACGCTATTTAATTTGTTCTTCAAATGCTAAACCGTTTATGGGATTTCCAATAGAATTTGAGCAAATACCATTACGATCAAAAAGTAAATTGACTTGTTAAATAAAAAACGCAAACTGTTTATTTATTCATCCAAATGAATCTATGTTATCTTCCTTCCTTCTATTACAATAGACTCGTTTATACTCGATTTCTGGTAGAATCGATAAGGGAAAGAAAAAGAGAGGTCTTTAAATTTTCAACGAAGCTGCATAATTGCAAGGTGAGTGATATTCTCTCGGTCGTATAAACGAACCTGTAATTGGATCTAGCCCGTCGTCGTCGTCTTCGTCGTCTTCGTCGTCTTCGTCGTCGTCGTAGTCGTCGTCGTAGTCGTCGTCGTAGTCGTTTCTATCGACCGACGACATACCAACCGGAGCATCGCACACCAAAATAGACCCTCTACCCTCTCTCTCTCTCTCTCCCCCTTCTCTCCCGAGTCCAACGATCTCGCTAATTCGCGAATCTTTCCAAAAAAAAAAAAAAAACACCCTTGTTTTACGATGAAAAAACAAAATATACATAAATTTATTTTCAATTTATATTACAATTGAAAATCGTTAATAATTCATTTGGAAATATTTAAGCAACGGTTGATGTACATTTATTAATTAATAAACGCACTTATACCTTATGGAATAGTTAGTTCCATATGCCCGGGTATATGCACAAGAGATATTAAGTACAGCAAATCGATGTAATTTTAATCACCGTTATTTCCAATTACTCGCGAGAGTTCAACGCGTCCTAGGATTTGCTTTGATCAAAATGATAGTCCTAATTGTTACTTCCTTTACTACTACTACTACTACTACTACAATCTT